TTAATTTAAAAACTTTTTTTTTTTTTTACTTTACTTTGACTGCTATCACATGGGGTAAGTAGCCAGGATCGCTTCTGTTGTAAAGCCGACAGTCGGCTCTACATGTTTAAACAGAGTCCCGGCGGCAAAAGTCACCGGGAGTCTGTTTAAACAGCCCCGATGCTGGCGACGTACACTGTACGTCGTCAGTCACGAAGGGGTTAAAGGAAGTGCAGCTTGCAGTGGTCTGTTCCATCTGCATTGGTCCCCCTTGGAATGGTGTGTAAATGCTAGGACTGGGACTTTACATAAAAGCTCTGTATCAATTTAAAAATGTAGGATATGAGAGATGAAGCAGTTGTGGGCTTAATTATTTGTTACACCTGGTGAATTTAATGCAATGGTGATAATAAGCATTAACTCCACTCCATAGTCAGCCAATCCTTAAAAAGGAGTACTATGGGATGAGTGAAATACACTTGTCCCCAATAGTTAGTGCCGACGTGTGACACTTTTTTCTCGATCTATAGAGCCGTCGCACATCGGTCCTATAGACCGAGAACTGATCAATCGCATACCGCCAATTTCTCAGTTCACCATCTTCTCCCTGCAACGGAGTGTTGACTGCAACGGTGACTGGAGGGCCAATGGGGAGGAGCCGGGCACAGCTAGTGCCAGCTGTCAATCAGGCAACAAGGTGGATCCTTGCAATATTGTCGAGATCTTTCCCGGCTGCAGCACAGCTGTGGGCTGTCAGCAAATAGCAGGAAACAGTCTGCTATATGCTGAGTTTTGGGTCACAGGAGGGCATTTGTAAATGGTTTTAGTGACCAAAAATAGGTTTGGCCATCGTTCTCTTTTAAAGGTTATCATTTCAAACTGCACAATCCATAAACAAGTAAAGCAGGCACCCAGCTGCATGTAATGTCACAAAGCTTTCAGACCACCCTTGGAGCTCCAAATTCCAAGGTGCAGATATGTACATAAGAGATGTGACCAGGTCTCTCCGATGTCCCACAACTCAGCCATTGAAACTGCCCATCACAGTGATCAGCCAAAAGTCAAAATATGGCAGATGAGTAGGTGCAGGTCAAAGCTGAAATTGGCGTTTGCACAATAGGGAGAAACAAGTTAATTTTCTAACATCAGATAAAGATCATAGAAACAAATCATTCTGGCACATTGATTCAACCTTCATAAGTTTTGCAGATACAGGTGATTGTACCAGAGGCCGAAAACTGACTAATTCCCTAAACTGGTATAATGCAACCAACATTTTAGGTCTGTGAGCATATACCTAACCAGAGTTTTTACCAGCAAAGATAATATGACTTGTGTCTAGTACACAGGGTTGGATAAATAATTATGAAATTCAGGAGCCAGTATGTCTAATCCAGGAACCTGCAGCATTTTTTTTTCTTTCCTTTAAGGAACGAGCTCCATTGATAATTAGAGAAAACCTCAAAAGGTTAACCTGCCAGCTGTAAATTTTAATGAGCAACAAAGCTCCTGGGATTTGTCCAGCCCTGGTCTAGTATCACAAACTGTTTCAAACCGTGTAGCTTCAGCAGACTTGTGGTAGCAGTGTAGGAAGGAATGGCTTATTTTGAAACATTAAATTGTTCGGGCCTGTTTACACCAAATGTTAAATCTCTTGTCATGCCAAGGCTACTTGAAATAAGGGCGTTTATAGAGAACTCTAAGTGCACTTGAAATGCATTAAACCATTCATGGAAGTGAAAAAAAGTTATAAAAAATATCAAATGTTAGCAAAATCAGTTTAAGGACAAGACCAAGGGCACCAAAGATTATATTTAATGCGTGCCAGACATTTCTGAACATTTTAGTTAGTGGAATATATAATATTTATTCTATATTTAGTGTCATCTTAAAGTGACACTAAACTCAGGAGTTAAATCTTGAAAATACATTCAAGTACCTTAACTACTAACAAAAATGTATCTTCTATGTGTGTCACTCGGCTGTAGATCATCAAATCATCTCTGAATCGGTGCCGACACTGTCCTTCCTTCTGGAGGGTGGCTACTTTTGTTCCCCATGGTCCCTGTGTATGTTGTAAAGTTCCCCATGGTCCCTGTGTATGTTGTAAAGTAGCAACCGCTCCAAGCTCGCTCCTGTGGTGAACTACAATCTCATGTTTAGTTTACCAAGTTGTATTGAGATTGTAGTCCATCACAGGAGCGAGCTTAGAGCGGTGACTATGTCATTATTCTATAGGGTCTTGGCATTCAGAAAATATATAATGTTGGGGGGTTTTACGTCATTTTCAGGCCTAAAATGTGGAATATAACATGGGTGCAAAAATGGAAAAAAGGGCCTCAGTCATGAAGGGGTTAAGATTTAACTCCTGAGATTTAACTCCTGTCACATTACTTCAAAGAATGAAAGTAGTCAATGCACAAATGGATTAATCTGCCAAAGGATTTGTAGATAGAAGCTCTTGTGATCAACACCCCTCTGCTCTGTGAAACGACAAACAAACAACTTCCAGCAATATGAATTTGTCCAGACTCCAGACTGTGCTATTGCTTTGTCCCCTGTCTGCTCGAAAATACAGCCACATTGGAGACACGCACTATGCACTTTTCCCCCTGCTAACTCCCACTCCTGCACATCAAATTACATTAGCACTACAAACCTAATTTCAACTGTCAGATTATGTGTGGTCATCTCAGTTTAAGAAAATAACGAAAAGTTTACACCATCATCTGAATTATGAAGGAAGTATTGTCGGGTGTGCAACTAGGGTTAACAACAGCCACACTGAATCATTCCGATAGTCCTCAACAGTAGTATTAAACATCCTCTGTCACAAAAAACAGTAACCTGGTAAATTCATTTCCAAAAACCTTCCAGGACAGCACTTGAGCGACCCCAACCACCCAAAACAGGCAAACGAGGGGTACGACCAGCCCGTCAAAAAGGCATACAAAACAATATTTTGCACCTAAACAGTAACCACATTGGGTGGGAAGGTCGTGTTTGCCAGGAATATTTAAAATTAAGTGATCAGTCAAATTACTTGGTTTTCCCCAATATAGTCTTAATTAGATCACAAATCCACAGTGTAGATGTGTGCAAGCTTGACCAGGTAGCCTGCATGTCTGCTCTAGGGCGGCTCCTGCCTTCTCCACCCAACAATCCTCCAAAGTCCTCGTAGAATGCATTTTAACTTCTTCCAGTGGTGTCATGTCTAGGACTTTAAGAATCTCTGATAGTATAGCGTATCCACATTCTAAATGTGTTCTTTAAAGCTCTGGCTGAGGGTAAATGCACAGTGAATGGGCTGGGGGAATTTCTCCATGTCTTGGTCATTTCTAGGTATGCTATAATAGCTCTATGGAGAGCAAGACAATAGAACACAGCTTCTTTGTCAAAGAACAAAGGAATAAATATGTCCCGATTTCTGTGGAAGGTTGCCATCTTCGGTAGGATCCACTCCGAGCACAATTTTATAGAAGAAAAAAAATAAATAAAAAAGGAGCTGCCATTGATAGAGCTTGCAACTCGCTCCTCTCACTGTAAATAAGTGCTATAAGTAGCCAAGGCCACCAATGAAATGTTTTTTTTTAATTTAGCTGGACATTGTCTATCAATGTTCTGCTTGAAGGGTCTATGGTGATACCACAGCAAGATCACATTAAGGAAAGGTCTTGCAATAGAATATTATTTCCCTCATAGCTTTAAAAAGTTAACATTCAAAAAGATTTAGTGTAATATACAATTATTTTTTATCAACATCAAAAACCATCATCAACAAATATGTCCATATGTCACTGAGCTGCTAAATCTGCTTTTGCATTAGTACCCCCCACCACCACCCCACCCAATACACAGAGCTTGTAGGGAACAACAGGGAAATTCAGCTATGTACAACACATGCATGCAGAGCAGTTCTGCTCCAGTGGCTGCTGAGTGGAATAAGCGGATGTTCCCATATGATCTCTGCGGGAAGGGACGTCACATGAGCAGGATTATGCAGAGCTCCACTCTTATTAGCAGCCTTGCTAAAGACTAAGCAGTGTTTGGCCAACATAAGTAATGAAGAGCTCACATCATTAATTGTTTACTAATGCTGATCTTGGATGCAAAAATTATTTTGTGACTTTAACATCAGTCAGCCCCTTTGTTAGTGGTTGTCCAGACCATAAAACATCGGCATTAGCAGATATAAACGCAAAGGATCTTTCTCATATACAGGCACCAAGTTTTTTTAAGGCACAAAGGGAAATGTACTCATGGAAAGTAAATTCTACTTACAGCTATTTCTCTGCATGCAGACATAGAAATTCCAGTACCTTCTATTTGTTTCAGAGCATAATCACGGTCATCTTTCCTAAAATGGAGCAAAGAAAGGCAGTTAGTACTTGAGTGCATTTCTTGACTGACAGATTTGCGCTTTAGATCACCAAATGCATATTTAAACAGGTAACAGTTATCCAAAATGTACAATACACCATGTAATATATCTGAAATATAAAAATGAAAGCCTAGAACTTAATAAATCGGCCAACTAATCGATTATCAAAATAATCGTTAGCTGCAGCCCTATTGCACACATCAACCAGACTCTAAAAAGTGCACCTGAACCACAGATTACTGGCATTCAAGCATTTACATATTCTTAACAAGCAGCCCTCACCTTTCTCCGTAGCTGAAGTCACTATGAATTACTCTTCAAAAGAGAGGCAAAGAAATCAATGCTCTCTCTAAAGGTGCCCATACACTGCTCGATTCTCGTACGAGAATCGCGGGAAATCCCGCGATCGTACGAGAATCGAACAGTGTGAACGAAGATGTGCGACCGTTTCTACTGTACGGTCACACGTCTTTTGTCTAAGGAGCATGTCAGAAAACCAGCCGAGAATCGTACGATTTTCGGCTGGTTTGAACAGTGCTCGGGAGACAAATGCCGAACGGGCCGGTGTGCGTACGTGCACACTGCCCGTTTAGAATTGCGGTCATCGGAAGCCCGCCCCCCTGCGATGATCAAGAGTGCGATCTGCCTGTCCAAGATGGGCAGATCGTACGTTTTTTTAATCACTTTACAACCATCGCAAGACTAAGGTCTTGCGATGGTTGTACAGTGTATGACCACCTTTAGACCCATGTCAGACTAGTGATTCTGTTACTGCCAACAGCAGCATTGCTATACTGGACACCGCAGGGCAGTGACTTAGTAGCCCTTGCTTGCATGTGTCGCTGCCTCATCGGCTGGTTAATCAAGGACATGGCTCGCTCACTGGTGATTTACAGTCTGCAGTGCCTTTGCCAACTAAAGAGCAACAGCACCCTCATCCAGCCAGTGTAAGAGACACATACAAGTGGATGAGCATTCTAACTGCATCTTTTAGCATTCCTGATGCTGGGTGACATAGGCTTTATTTTCTCTGAAAGCAGGAACTTGGCAGCCTTCTAATGTAAACTTGAAGCTGACTGAACCCTGATTTGTTAGCCTTGGCTGTGATCTTTCAGGATGAATTACTTCACAGTACATGCAGCTAGAGAGGTCAGACCGCTTGTTAGGAATATGCAAACACCCATTCATACACACTGGAGCCATTTTTTACATTTATTTTATTTTTATCCGATTAACCGATTAATCGAACTTAATAAATCGGCTAATGGTACCCCAACACAACCACACATACACGAATACTTTCTGATGCACTGTAGTATATCCCAATTTTGACTGTGTTGCAGTGCCTTCAAATTAATGGGCTGCTTTATTACACCACACCCTAATGCATCGGAATTTTAAAATGTGAACGTGTCCTAAATGTCTGTCTAGGTACAGGTGCACTTTAAGCTGCCCACACACCTTGCAATTAGTAACCTGCAATTGATAATTTGTTGGAATGTCCCTTTACAATGAGCTGGTTTACACATGAGGAGTGTGCTTTTAAATAAGGAAACCCAATAGATCTTTCAAAGTAAATACTGTACTAGGTTTTAACCCTGTTGCATACAGGTTTTACCAATTTCAAACCTGTCCTTTGATCATTCTAAAGGTGCCCACACACCTTACAATTTAGCTGCAGATTTTCTGTGGTCAGGTGGAAAAGGTGCAACAGATTCCTCCATTTACACTTAACTGCGTGGATGGAGTAATCTCCACCTGGCCCAATCTGTTGCACTTTTTCCATCTGACCACAGAAAATCTGCAGATAAATTGTAAGGTGTGTGGGCACCTTTAGAATGATCAAAGGACAGGTTTGAAATTGGTAAAACCTGTATGCAACAGGGTTAAAACCTAGTACAGTATTTACTTTGAAAGATCTATTGGGTTTCCTTATTTAAAAGCACACTCCTCATGTGTAAACCAGCTCATTGTAAAGGGACATTCCAACAAATTATCAATTGCAGGTTACTTATAGTTACAATCACAAATACGCTGTGATCCAATGGGTCACAATGAACCCAGAGACTTGAACAGGCCTCCAGCTGAGTTAACAACAGAGTGATAATATTCAGTTTCTAGAAGCCCTAAAATGAGACACTGCTCCAGGGGAGCCAAAAGGGTAAGACTGAGTATTGAAGATAAGCGGGACCCGTCTGCTAACTCATATTTAGATCTACAGCTCAATGTAAAAAAAAATTTCACTCAATTGCTCATGACAGATTTTTCCATATTCGTTTTTTCGGTTTGTTATTTGACTTTTACTTTGAGAATGCAAGAACATGGAATATCTATGCTAGGAACTATAGGTAAATAACTTGATCATCTCCAGCTGCCCAAGGCTTGTCTAAAGATTTCGTTTTATGCAGACTCATTTCCTTCAGTAGCTTGGGTAAAAGAATGTCTTCACATTGTAGTAGAAACCAGTACAATAAGCTAAGCTTTTCAAGCATACAGACTTGGACTAAATTTGTTGGTACCCAGTCGTGAAAAAAAGAATAACCAATAATTTTCTCTGAAATAACTTGAAAACGGACTAAAATCTTCGCCATCCATAATTTTTAACTACATTTTTAAAGCGTCACTAAAGTTAGAAGACAAAATGTCATGTTTTTGCATGCAAGTTAAAACATCTCACCCTGTAACTTTAAATGTCGGTGTCCATTTAGTCCCTATAAACCAAGAATAGATGCTGAGAACCACATTTGCACACAGTTTCTGTGCCTGTGACCGCAATTTATTCTGCCTTCCAAATATCTCCCACATGCAGAAGCACTGTGCTCAGAAACTAGTACATAGGGGTTTTTCACGATTTCCTCACAGCTCCACACCTCCTCCCTAATGTCCTGCCCACATTTCTGTTATGCCATCCTCTCCTAGAGCCTGGTGCCCAACTGCATGTGACGTGTGGCACAAAACATTGTAGGAGATGACCTGGATTGAGAGGCCCCTAGAAGCACAAAAAGCAAGCAGAAGCTGCTCTTCAGAAGAGGCAAGAATATACCCCCCACCCACCCACGGTGCACTTTATCTATATAGAACCCATTGAAACTTGACCTCACTACTGGGGCATGTTCACCCGTATAAAACGCCCTCTCATCTCACTTCACTCACCCTTCCGCTTCTCCTGACTTCAGGAGATATCTAGAGCTGCAACAGTTAAATCGATTTAGTGGATTAAAATCGATTGAAAACGCTGTCAACGTTTTCGATCGTCCATTCGTCGGCTATCGATTGATTAGCCTGTTCGGGGCTCCACGCGCGGCCTGAGCCGCATGTCACACGCTGCTCCCGCCGCACAAGACGCTTAAGCCACGCCCACCGCACAGGACACAAGCCACGCCCACGCCACTGCTCTCCTCGCTGTGAGCTCACTCACTCGCCCTGGCCCGCCGACAATCGAGGGCCCATGATCTGAAAGTCAGGAGCGGACCCATTGTAGACTAGAAATGTAGCTCTGCAACCCATCCCACCATCATCATACCCATCCTCTGCACCCCATCCCATCATCATAACCATCCTCTGCACCCCATTCCACCATCATACCCATCCTCTGCACCCCATCCCATCATCATCATAACCGTCCTCTGCACCCCATCATCATAACCGTCTTCTGCACCCCATTCCACCATGATACCCATCCTCTGCACCCCATTCCACCATCATACCCATCCTCTGCACCCCATTCCACCATCATACCCATCCTCTGCACCCCATTCCACCATCATACCCATCCTCTCAATCCCTGCACTCCATTCCACCATCATCATCATACCCATCCTCTCCATTCCACTATCATACCCATCCTCTCCATCCCTGCACTCCATTCCACCATCATACCTGTCCCCTGCACTCCATTCCACCATCATACCTGTCCCCTGCACCCCATTCCACCATCATATCCATCCTCTCCACCCCTGCAATCAATTCCACCATCATACCCATCCTCTCCATCCCTGCACTCCATTCCATCATCATACCCATCCTCTCCATCCCTGCACTCCATTCCACCATCATACCCATCCTCAACATCCCTGCACTCCATTCCACCATCATACCCGTCCTCTCCTTCCCTGCACTCCATTCCACCATCATACCCGTCCTCTCCATCCCTCCACTCCACCATCATACCCGTCCTCTCCATCCCTGCACTGCATTGCACCATCATACCTATCCTCTCCATCCCTGCACTCCATTCCACCATCATACCCGTCCTCTCCTTCCTCTCATTCCACCATCATACCCGTCCTCTCTATTCCTGCATCATACCCATCCTCTCCAATAACACCAGCTATAGAGGAATACATCAGATCCCAGCAATAGTACATTATATACAGCGCAATGCAGAATACCAGCAGCTACAGAGGACTACAAATCCCAGCAATAGTACATTATAGTATAATGTACTATTGCTGGGATTTGTTGTATTCCTCTGAAGCTGCTGATATTCTGCATTGCGACGCTGCATAATGTACACCACATTTTTTTTTTTTACTTCCACCGCTCCAAGCTTGCTCCCGTGATGAACTACAATCTCAATACAAACTAGTAGTCCATCACTGGAGCCTTTTTTTTTTAAATCCGATGAATCAAACTTAATAATCGGCTAACTAATCGATTTTTAAAATAATCGTTAGCTGCAGCCCTGGGAGATCTCTCCCAATCCTGGCCGTCTATCTTATAATACCAGGGGTGTGGAATTCGTATTGTCCGACGCCCGGGACATGTAGTTCCGGGCGTGTGTTTTTTTCACTGGTTTTACTTTTTTAAACGAGCGCCGCTGCAAGCGTGGGGCATCAATAAAGAGAACCTGTCACCTCCAAAAGCTATCACTGTGTTATAGCACTATATTAAGTTACAAATAAATAGTTTAAAAAAAAGTAATAGTTAAAAATGTAACTAAATAAAAAAGGTGATAAAGTAAAAAATAATAAAAC